TAAGGACAGACGGACTGCAGGGACGCCTGGAACCCAGGTATAATCCCAGTTGGATAAGGACAGATACACTGCTGGGGCACCTGGAATCCAAGGGAGAAACTAAGTACGAATAAGGACAGACACTCTATAAGGGGAGCCTGGAATTCGTACTGAAAATACTGTGGATAAGAACAGACACGCTGATGGGGAGTCTGGAATCCCAGTACAGTGCCAATTAATCTGTGCCAATTAACCAATTCCAAATGAGGACCAGGAGACACCAAATTTCCAAAGATAAAGGAAGGGATCTGCCTCTATATGCAGAAATGGAGAATACAAAATGGCGGCCTTACTAAAATGGCGGCCTACCTCCCTACAGAAAAAAAGGCAACCCAGTATTGCCACCCTTGGTAGAAAGGGAAAACTCGTTTGCCAATTGGAAACTGTGCAAGCGCCCAATTTAGATTAAATCCTTTCACCAAAATTGTTTCACTTAACGATTAATCCTAATTTTTTAAAGCAAATTGTGGTCTCAAAATGGCCGCCGCGGCCTATTCCAGGACCACGAGGCTCAAAATGGCGTCTCTGACACAGGCAGGGCCGGGAAACTGTTAGCACCCCCCCCCCGCTCTCTGAGGAGCCTCCGCACACCGACCAGCAAAGAAGGGAGGAATCGGGGGAAAATAAACTATTTCTCAGTCCCCGATAGCCGGCCGAAACCAACGATCGTAGTGGAGGCCAAGCGCGCGCGCGCACGCGCACCTCCGCGAACAAAAAAATAGAAAAAATAGAAAGACTCACAATAATCGCCCACGAGGACTGCAGCCGTAGCCCCGAGAAGGAAAAAACGACGTCGGAGTCGATCGTGGGGCTTCCCCCCCTTTTCCCCGTCGCAAAAAAAGGCGCCCGAGTCGACAGCCGCAGCCGCGGGCTCCGTGAGGCTTGTGTCTGAGGAAGACAACAGCCGATGTCTTCCTGACGGATCGATTGAAAACGAAAAAATGCCTCCCAGGGCTGTCTTTCCCCGTTTAAACAGCCTACGGAGCCGCAGCCGCAAGCTCCGTTAGGCGTGAGGTATATTGAGTCCAACAGCCGTTGGCCTCCTGTCGGGGAAAGGGGCAGCCCCCTTCAATTCCCTGCAAGGCCCAATCCTATTTGAGTAATGAGCTTTGAGACTAACAGCCGTTAGTCCCTTTGGAAATACTTACAGGGATCGTTGAGGGGAGATGAAGCCAAATTAAGTAATTAATTAATTTAATTCTGTAAAATTTTGAATTGGAAAGGGGATGGAAACCACCAATGACTGTACCTGCCTAGAGCCAAACTTGCAACGTCTGTCCTGGGCAAGATCAAGTCAAAGACTGGAGATCAACGGTCCAGGACGGGCGTGGCAACTTTGGCTGACTTGATCTNAGGAATACAGTCTACTACCCAATGGTGGAGTCTCCATCTCAGTGCTGGAGAACAGTAAGTTTATGCTAGAGTAGACTACAAGCAGAAATTCCTTATCCAAGCCTCATTTTTTCAGTTGAAGGGATCACATAAGTTCTCTATTTGGGTGCTAAAGAATGGGTTTTAAATCTGAGCTAGCACAAGAAAGCCACTTGGGAAGATGAGATTATTTATTTAAAAGGTTCATATGGCTGCCCATCTTAGTACACAAATCTGGGTCCCTCACAATAATAAGATTGCAAACTAAAAAACTTGTCACCTTGAGCATCTCCTAGCACTTAGACTTATATATCATTCCATAGTGCTTTGCAGCACTCTGAGCAGTTTACAAATGCCAGCATATTGCCCCCAACAATCTGGGTCCTCATTTTACCGACATTGGAAGGGTGGAAAGCTGAAGACAACCTTGAGCCAGTCAGGATTGAACTCCTGGCAGGGGACAGAGTTACTCTGCAATACTGCAGATTCTAACCACTGTGCCACCACGACTCCCAACACTGATTTCCTCACCAGCCATGCATAAGCTCCCAACATTGGACCATAATACCTAGGTAAAGAGCCAGGTCTTGATGGCCTTCCAGAAGGCTAAGAGTGGGAGCCTGCCTGCCACAAGGAAAGAGAACCTATGGAAGAGACAGGGTTCTAGATCCCTCAACTGTACACGGCAGCATTTCAGAAAAGCCTACTCTATCCAGTCTAGTAGGATGGGCATACAGGGTTTTAATGGGAGCCAGTGCAGCTCATGTAATGGTGTAACATGAACAAACAAGGGTGCCCACATTGCTTGTGTTCTGCATTCTGGGCCAGATATACATTCCAGGTGGCCTTCAAGGGCGGTCCCATATACAGTACATTGCAGCATTCCAAATAAGAAGTGCTCAGTCTCCTTGAACAGTGAGATGGGTGGCATATTAAATTTAATAAAATGGCCAAGAAGTGCTTGTGAACTAGGTGTCTCCATCCAAAAAAGGGTGCAATTGACACACAAGGCAGATCTGTGCAAATCACCAGACATATTACCCGACCCCGAGAGGCCAAAAACCCAAAGTCACCCTATTTTGTAAAAATAATAAAGGTTGGATACAAATACATAATAATCTTATCAAGGTTAAGTTGAAGTCAGTTCTTCCACATTCAAAACTTCACAGCCCCCAGGGACTTGGTTAGCACTCCCAACAGTATCACCTGGTCAGACCAGGGTGGAAATATGTAATAGGGTATCATCAGCATACTGATAATACTGCACCCCTTGTATGGGTGACCTCATCCAGCAGTTTAAATATTAAAATGGAGAAATGTGAGACCAGAGCCCTGAGCACCCCTCACTGCAGGGCATAGGGCATGACCTCTCCCCATCATCACCACTGACTGGAACTGATTATGAAGAAAGGAGGGAAATCACTGCAAAAGAGCATTTTCCACTCTCAACACCCAAAACTTTAGATGGCAAGATGGGCAGCATATAAATTTAATTAATTAATCTGGTTTAGAAACTTACTTTACCACAATTGATGGTATCGAAAGCCGCTGAGAGATCCAGGAGAGCCAGGTCAGTTGCATCACCTGTCCCAAGCCTGCAGAGATCCTCTTCAAACACAACAAATGCCATCTTACTATACACCAGTCTGGACCTGGCCTGAACTCAGGGTTCAAATAATTGATTCCATCCAGGGCCCTTTGAAGTTAAGTGCCAACTCACCTGCACATGTAATCAGCAGGATTTCTGCACTTGCATCAGAGACAACTGATAAGAATGGCTCAGATTGTGACTGTTTCAGTGTTACACACAGAGAAATCAATAGAGATTTGTTAGTTTTATCAACTTTAGATTTATTAATGTTACAAGCCTTCAGACAGTGGTAGGAACGTGTCTGCATAACTCTGACGCACCTGTCACTAAACAGCTACTAAACCAGGGTTGAAGAACCCTTTGATGGTAAGGGACCCTCAAGAGTTGTAGCTCAGGAATGTCTAACGCAAGACAGTTTCTCACCCTTGAATTACACAAAGGCAACTGCAAGTTTAACTGAACTATTATTCTAAAAATGAATGGTAGTACACAAAATAGTGCTCAATAGGTTTTACTCCATTAGCTGAGAAGAACCTATGCAAACTGTAAACATAGTAGAGGATAGATTAGGCTGCATCCAGATAGCATTTGTCCTGGCAAGTCAGAAGCTACATGAGTCTTTGCTAGTAGTAAGCCAATAGGTATGGACTAAAAGGCTTTATAAAATTTATCAGAAACTCTGAAATATAAATTGCAAACATTTTAAAACAAAGGAAAGAAATTACTCTAAAACAAGGGGAGGTTATAGTACCTGATTGTTCATGATAATAGAAACTAAGGACATGACTTCCCATATATTAATCACCATACTGAACAATCTATTTTTGTAACCATTTCTCAGTTTTAAAATGACCTGGATATCAAAGTAAGGGAGATGCTGAAGTATCTAGCTGTAGTAGCAAGATACTTCAAACCAATTTGAATACAAGGGACTTATTCACCTACTTCAAGAAATGTTATCAGTATGCCAGACTCTCTGTACCAAAATCAGCAGACTAATATGAAATGGTTCCCTGAAGTTTAATAAAAAGAACCTAAACTACTGCTTTTTATTAAGTGCTAGTTTTAAAAGCCAGGCTTCCAATATGAAAAATAGGAAATATAGTTATATAGAAATGATGACAGCAGGTATCCAGGATTGCTTGGGAAAAAACATAGCAAAAAGTGAATGCTCTCTTATTTCTGCAGTGCTAACAGAAGCAACTCATTTCAATGTGTACACATGCTCATAAATGGATATCAGCCATTGAGTTTGCCTGTTACTCAACTATGTTAAACCAAGAATAACAAAATAAGCATTTGCTTTCAATGCTATACAGCAGGACAGTTGAGCAACACAAACTAAACATTTCCATATTTTTTTCTTTGCAAGTATATCACGAGAAGGCCCTCTCTTGTACAGGTTTAAATGTATTATGCTTATTTTAGGGTGCACAGTACAGCTAGTCAATCTCATTACAACACAAAAATTATGATGGAAGGATCTTCAGGTCACATAAACAGGTTCAGGAGCCACAGCGTGCCTTTCTACAGCAAGAGGAGAGATCAAGATTTAAGGATAGATATAAAAATTCTTGAAAAAAATCAAATCAAATGCAAACTTATGAGAGTAGACAATGGGCCGTTACACAAATTAGTACATTTCCCTGCCAGGATAGTTGGTAAGACTTACCAGTGGAATTGCAGCTGATTAAAAAAAATCAAATGTAACAGAGGCAGGAACATACACTATGTATTCTAGGTATCATATCTGTCTAAAAGAGTTTAGAGGAACAGTGATTGGGCACACAAATAGCACAACACATGTTTCTAAAACAGGGCGCAATTAAAAAGGTTTTTAAAATGTCAGCAAAAGAGCAAGAGTGACCACAGCACATTTGCCATCTCTGAAAGCATACTTCTGGTTTGTTCATTTAGTGATTTATCCATTAGTGATATCATGACCAAACCATACTCGTATCTATAAAATAAAATACATGGATGAAGCACATTTTCCCCCCCAAAGACATTTCTTTTTAAAATTTGTTTACAAAAGTGATACAATGGCAAACATTTCCATTAGCAAACATTACTGCTAAATATTTTCATTCTTAAACTTTGTGCAGTAAAAAACCTCTTTTTTTGTGAAACTGTTATATATTGCATATTTGCGCTGGATGGAGTCTTCTTCAGGAACAAGTTATAAGTAAACAGATGATTCTGTCTTGGCTCAGGAGTTACAGATAGCTGTGCAAAACAAAAGAAAGTAACTGTGTATTATTGATCTATTACACGCCAGCATATATTTGACATAGATCTGCTGCTAATAATAGTTTGATGACAAATGCATCCTAAGAGATATCCCACCCCAAGTTTTTTTCTGTGAATACTACATCAACATATTCTATCTCTATTCACACCAAATCCCATTGAACAACTGAAGGGTCCTTAAAACTGGGATTTTGATTATCTGAAACATACTAATTGCCAAATGCAATAGAACAGGTATGTATAAGAGCAAATGCCTCTAGATGCTGCTTCCTGGCCATGCAGGGCCAGGTGTCAGTTCTGTGGACTTTAAATATAGAGGCTTCTCTCATTTACTCACATAAGAGAAATTTGCAAGGTCCATAGAGCTTAACTTATACAAGCGTGCACAAGCGTGCAGGGGCTCTTAAGACTATAAAGATAACCAGTGAAATGCTTCCTATTGCTCCCTGCAAGAAGTGAGTGATATGTGCTTCAGCTACCAGAATCAATATAATTTTTGGCTGTGAAAATCAAGTCTCTCTAGCACGAATAAAAGAAACCCCAGGCATAAAAATGTTTTCTGTATTTAAGGCTGCCAATATGTGTGGAGTCCTTGGTGTTCTCTCAATTTGGTTTGTTTGGTGATGTTTCATTACCAAGCATTATCAGTGCGAGTGAATGGGGTTTGCTCCCTATTTATATACAATAACTTGCCCTGCCAAGGTTGTTGTGTGTTGTTTTCTCTTTGGTAGTTCCCTGATTACAGTATTGCTTGACTGTTTGCCTAGTGTTAATCCATACTTATATGCCAATAAGGTTTGGAAAACAGAAGAAACATATGAAGAAACAAGACTTAATAAGATCACTTCATTCCTATTCTTACCTTAGTTTGAATTAGTGCTTTACAAGTGCTAAGGTTGAATTTGTCGACACCGGAATCTTCATTTTCTCTGTTAGTTTTTTCCAAACTACTGACCTTAAATTCTGGAACAGCCTAATAAACAAGAATATCATGTAAAGAACTGTGATTTTTATCATATAATGCATTGTGTGAATCATCTTGATATTACATTGATTCTATATTGGGTTCTATAAACTAGAATCTTCAAGCTGAAGTATTGCCATTGTGAATTTCACAATGTTGTAAAGCACAGGCAGGAAATATATGCACAGTTGCAACATTGGGAAGTACGGAAAATTTCAGACAAAAAGGGGAAACCAGAGACACAATTGCGCCAGTGGCAATTGAAAGTAAAATCTCCTCTGGAACTTGGAGCCTGATATCCAATCATTTTTATAGATAGAATTATTTCCCAAGAGATCTTCGTAGAGAGGTTTTGTTTTGCTTTGCTTTGCCTTATATTTTTTAGGAAAATAGCAAAATACATAATTTTCAGTTTTTCTCCAACTGCATTCCTCAAGGGAATGTTACATTATAACATAAGGGCTGAATTCATATATAATTTTACATGCACAAAACACAACTGCTATGTTCATATAAATACCCAATCAAGCCTTACTTATATGTGCGTTTCTGTTATTTATTGGTTGGTTTATTTCATAGTGAGCATATAAGCCACTTCAATGGAGACCCAGTTTGGTAGTGGCTAAATGCTGGATTAGAAACCAGAAGATGGTATCTTCTCTTCCTTTAGGCATGAAAACCGACTGAATGACTCTGGGTCAGTTTCTCACCCCAACCATGTCACAAAATTGTTGTTAAGGGAGAAAAGGAGAGGCGTGAATATTATGTACATACTGTACACTGCCTTGAGTTAACCAAAAACAAAAATGAGATAAAAATCTAATACTGTAAAAAAAAAATCTAATACTGTAATAAAATTTGTAGCATATATACATTCCATCCCAAGCAGGTTAAAACAACAAGAATATTTACTCATCATGAATGCTACTGTACCATGAGAAACTATATCAGAGAATGTTTGCCATGGTACAGTAGCATTCATGATGACTGAATATTCCTGTTATTTTAACCTGCTAACCACACAGTTTTAAACACACTGCAAGTAGATGATACCCACGTCATTCCCTAGTAGCTTATTAGAACAACCAGATTTTAATGCCCTTCCTAAATTCCAAAAGAACTGGGGTTGCTCTAAAACAGGGGTCTTCAAATTTGGCCCTTTTATGACTTGTGGACTTCAACTCCCAGAATTCTTCAGCCAGGAAGGAAGAGAGACATGGCAATAAGAAATGTTTTGGGGGCTCTGACAAGACTACTCTCTAGGACTGCACACTGAAAGAGAGCCCTCTGATTGTACTGAATAGGCAGATCCCATTGGGCACAGGTGATCCCAAAGACACCCAGCTCCTAAGCCATGTAAAACTTTATAGTGTCATGACTAGCTCAGACTCTGATAAGGAAACTGACAACAAGCAGCCAGAATTACCAGATGAACTGCCTCTTGGGCAATTGCAGACAGAGGACTGCACCACCTAGTATCCAGCTGCCAGTCTTGAGAAATGAGGAATCTGAGCTGCTATGCCCTCTCAGAGCAAGATCTGGCTGTGTGGGAGAGCAGAGCAAAGGCAATCTGTGGGGCTTCTCGTAAGAAAGGACCCTCACTCCTCCAAATGAGCAACATCAGAGTTGCTTCTCTTTAAGAAGTGCAGCAAGCTCAAACCCTCAGTTGACTGTTTGTTAACCTAGTCTCTGTGTGCCTTGCTTTTCATCTTGAAATCTTGTGACTGTGACTGTCCCAGACTGGCTGACAAATCTGCTATGACATTTGGACCTTTGGACTTCACACAGGACCCCTATTGTCTCTACTGTGCCTTGCTGAGACAAGCTTGATGGACTTTGGGGGACACGATTTCTTATCTGTGTGTCTGCATGCTCATCTCCTTTCCTGCTTATTTGTTTGAGAATTTGCTATGCTAGTAAAGTTTGCAAAACACACTAGTGTTTGTGATCCTGTGGCCCAAGACAGGAGATATAGATACAGAGATAACTACCAACACTTTAATTGAAAGCCCACTAGTAGATTTCTGAAAACAGTGGTGTTACATGGGCCAATCCTTATTACCAGATTTAAACATCTTTTGAACAACAAATAACAGAGTTGGAAGGGACCTTAAGAGGTCTTCTCATCCAACACCTTGCTATACCATTTCAGACAAATGGTTGTCCAATCTCTTCTTTAAAATCTCCAGTGATAGAGTACCCAAAACTTCTGAAGGCAAACTGTTCCACTGGCTGATTGTTCTCAGGAAATTTCTCCTTAGTTCTAGGTTGTTTCTCTCCTTGATTAGTTTCCATCCATTGGTTCTTGTCTTGCCTTCTGGTGCTTTGGAAAATAGGATGACCCCCTCTTCTTTGTGGCAGCCCCTCCAATATTGGAAAACTGCCATCATGTCACCCCTAGTCCTTCTTTTCACTAGTCATACCCAATTCCTGCAACTATTTTTCATATGTTTTAACCTCCAGCCCCCAATCATCTTTGTTGCTCTTTTCTGCATTCTTTGCAGAATCTCTACATCTTTGTTATAATATGGAGACCAAAACTGGATATAGTATTGTAAGTGTGATCTTACTAAGGCTTTAAAAACCACTACTAATACTTCACATGATCTTGATTCTATCCCTGTTACTGTCACCTAGAATTTCATTGGCTTTTTTGGCTGCTGCCACACACTGCTGGCTCATATATAAATGACTGTCCACTAGGACTCCAAGATCACTCTCACAGTTACTGCTACTGAGTCAGGTTTCATCTAATCTATACCTGTACATTTGGTTTCTCTTAGCTAAGTATAAAAACTAACTTTTCTCTACATCCCAGGTGTCTCTTCACTGAAGATTAAATGAGGAGGATAGAAAGGCTGCTATGGAAACATGAACAAGGGGAAAATCAGTTTAAAAAAGAATACAATTCCTTAGCTTTTAGAAGAGTATTTAAAAAGAGTACTTTTTATAAATTTACTAACCCTCTGTGTTGTTTGGGGTATCAGATCATATCATTTTCATTTCATTAGAGTCAGAATTATGCAGTAGTTTTTTATACATAATTTTAGGAGAAGGAGCAGTGTATGTAGACTCAGAGTGTCTACAAACAGAGCCTGAGACCTCTGATCTTTCACCTGATGGGCTTAGCTGTGCCATCACACAGTTCAATTTTTTTTGACAGAAACACAAAGTTCTTATTCCCATCCATCATTTTTCGAGCTCTTACTGAACCATCAACAAATTCCAGTATTCATTTTGTAAAAAAAGCAAAAAAACCCAACAAAACTTGATATAAACTTTCGTATTTTAGTTCTGTAAATCTATTCTATGGAAACATACAAGATATTTTCTAACAAGTGAAATATGAAAATTCAGTTGAACAATAGCAAATATATGTATGTTTTAGAAAGTATTGCTGAATACTACCTTTTGATTAGCATTGATTCCAAGCACAGCTAAAAGATTTTCTTGACAATGAAATTCATTTTGATGGCATCTTAAATCAGAAGGGGTATTGCACTGAGTTAGAGTTTTCCATAAATTTGCTGAGTCAAGCCTTTAAAAGAAATACAATTCAGATTAATGCAAAGTAAACGTCCACCATATTTCTTGCTTGCATGTCAGATCAGCTCTAGAAAGGTAGCAAACATATTGCCCATGCTTCGTTACATATTAGGTATATGAACTATTACTAAACAGAAGACGTGGATCATGATTAACTAAATCAAAAGAACATCAATTTCTGACAGCAAATTTAACATTTAACATTTCATACTTAAAAAATAATCAGACATAAAGCCCCTTTCAATGAATCCCAGTTTTATAAAGGGATATAAGATTCTGCAATTCTTAGTAATCTTGGGAAAACTAAGACAAAGTAATATATGACGGCAATGTGGAAATAAACCTCTGTTTGGTTATCAACGACAGACACTCGCAGATACAGAACTTTTATTATAGACATTAAAAAACTACAACATTACATTACTTTTTGACATAATCGCCATTCAAATTGGGGCACTTGTCATAACGTCTTACAAGGTTTGAAATTCCTAATAAGTTGTTGCTCGGTGCCAAATCTGGGCTATGGGGGAGGGGTGATCAAAAACATCCCAACGGAAATGCTTCAAAATTTCTTGGGTACGTCTAGCAGTGTGCAGGCAAGCATTATTGTGAACCAATCACCACACCAGAAGTCAGCATACCCCGAGGCTTGTTATGGATGGCTCGTCTGAGTTTTTGCAACATTTCACAGTCGACTTCTGAATTGATGGTTGAATGACGCTCCATGAACTTCACCAGCAGTACTTCCTTGGCATCTTCACATTTGGCGGGATTTTCTGTGGCACCACTTCCGGTGTGGTGTTGGTTCACGATAATGCTTGCCCGCACACCGCTAGACGCACCCAAGAACTTTTGAAATAGTTCTGTTGGGATGTTTTTGATCACCCCTCCCATAGCCCAGATTTGGCACCAAATGACTACTACTAAGGATTTCAAACCTTGTATATTTGTCGGCAGCTGAATGTTATAGTTTTAAAATCAGCTACTTTTTATGTGTTTTCATCTCAGTAATCCTAGGAAGCATCTTTAGGTACAATTTGAAATCACAATACCAAATAGAGACTCATTTGAGTATTGGCAACCTCCTCCCATCTTCCCTCCCTATATGTTGCTTGCCAAAGAGATCTGGAGTTTTGAAACCTGTTTGTTTTATGATTTCTGAGTCGATCTAATAAAAATACTGTCATTTTCTCGAGACAGTATTGATCATTCACTCATCGGCCAGAAAAGGAGTATTTGTAGGGAGCATTTCTCATCCCTTGTTGTAAGATATAATGCCCTACTCCAGGGGTCTTCAAACTTGGCCCTTTTATGACTTGTGGACTTCAACTCCCAGAATTCCTCAGCCAGGCACAAATCATAAAAGGGCCAAGTTTGAAGACCCCTGCTCTACTCCTATTGAGCGTCACTTGAAAACTAAAAAGTTGGAGGGCAGCACGCTTCAAGCTTGTATATCAGCTAAGGAGCTGGGTGACTTTGAGGCAGTCATTCTCTCAGCCCAATCCACCTCACAGGTTTGTTGTTGTAGGGAAAATAGAAGGAGGAAAGTTGTTGGCTATTGTTATTGCTGCCTTGAGTTATTTGTAAAAAAAATAATAAAGGCAGGATACAAACAAATAAAGGCCACCCATTGTTTTCCAGCAAGAATGCAAGTGAAGAAAGATTGGCTAAACCGCTAACATATTCAGATAACTCTCTACTTTATAGTGGCTTGTGTGACTTTTCTATTTAGTTTTTAAGACAAGAGAACAGACCCTTACTTCATTATGCAAGCAGAAAGAAATGTCTGAAAATTGGGTTAAAATAACAGTAAATAAACAAACACCATCTTCCAGTTTTAAAATGAATTTAAAATATCCTAATTTTAAATTCTTCTCTGAAAACTGCATTTACTGGCATCTTCAGAAGACTGATCTTCTTCTATAAATGCATGCATTATCAATGACAAAACAAATCTTACCAAGCTTGTTTCTCTGTACATTCAGGAATGTCTGCATCTTCTCTTTCTGGGTGAAGCACTTGCTTCAATGTACTTATTTTATCCAAGCACTGTGGTACTGGGATTTCAGGAAAACTCTGTTTAACAATATCTTCAGAACTGATGGCAACCTAAAGAAGTATATATTGCAAGAATGCAGTAATATGTTGATTTATAGAGAAGAAAAACAAAGTTTAATTAACTTTAAAACCTAGAGGTTATTCCTTCTTCTCCATAGAAAACTTTTTTCTGCAAATCTGCAACAGTGAACTTTAGACTCATTTCAAAGATTTAAAAGTCATGTGGATTCCCAATTAACTATTCAGGAGAGGGGAAAAAAATCCTGAAAATCTAATGTACTACAGGGCCAACAATCCAGCATTAAGTTCCTCATTCTTCAGCAAAATGTAGAAAGTTAGATATAGAAAGTTAGTCACATTCTCATCTAATGACCCCTTCTTTACAAAATATCCCTCTATACCTGGTGCTGTATTTTTCAGCAAAAATTCTTATATGTAAGCATTTATTTTTCTCATAGAACCACAACAACATTGCTTGTAAATCAGGTTCAACTTGACATACTTACATTCTTGGTATTTTGCTAAGGTATAAATTCTGTACAATTAATGATTTCAGTGCTAGGATTTTGGTACCATTTTTCCTTTTCACCTTCTCCACTTTTCCTTCATTTGCCACCAAACTATGTAATTTTTATATTTTTATGTTTTATTCTACTATAGTTTTAACAAGAAAAGACTTCTCATTTCTCCTTATTATACTCAAGGACATCTTGGATTTTAGAAAAAGGCAAGCATACGTCCAAATGCCAAATTCAGTATGTGTAATGTACAATGGAGCTAAATAGCCTAATTTCGCATATACACTGAGGAAAACCGAGTTCTCTGGAAAAGGGTCTTAGAGTCATGGAGGAAAGAATCATAAAGACTTTGACTCAATGTAGCTGAGAAGTTAACTAATTCTACACCAGGGATCCTTCAGCAAGGGATAGCCTAATGATAGCCTTGCAATCCTGTAGGAGGCTCCATTTTTAAGGAGGCTCCATTTTCCCTTAAAAACAGAGGCTTCCAAGGGATTGTGAGAAGAGCACCTGCTTGCAGAATAGCAGGAGGCTGCCTCTGTAGGAAAGCTGAGCTTCACATCAGATCAGCTGGGCACCTCTCTCAAAAGCTGCAAAAACAGAAAGCTAAGTTGGATGCTGCTGAACCTTGGAGGTGGTTGAAGAAAAGACTAGTCCTGCAAGTCCTGAGTGGCTGGGTGGGAAGCAAGCCCAAGGCCTGCAGGGATCCCAAGGGGTGGGAAGTGGAGTACAGGGTTCCTCCAAGGGGTGGGGGAGGTCTTGGGAGACCCAGAGCAGGTGAGCTGGCTAGGACTAGGCCTTCCCAGCCCTGAGGACCCTATGGTCTACATAACAACGGCCTTGGGGAGAAGAGAGGTAAAGGTCATTAAGCAAAGTATTAACAACCCTTATGACTAGCAACCATAATGAGCATGCTATATTACAGTCCTAATTCAAGGACTACCTGTATTCATATGAGCTTATATATATTTTCCAGATTAATGAAGAGCAATGATTTATCACATTTAGCTCGGTTGTGCTATACTAGCTATGCAGAAAAGTAAAATAAACAGATACACTTAATTGCATCTTGAACTAATATGTTTTCTTAGTGCAATGACAAATATCTAATGTCTGTATTATAAAAAACAAAGAGTAGTATTATACAATGTTAAAATGAGAAAAAAGAAAGGGAGCCTGAGCAGAAAATTGATTGGCCTTATCAATATTTACCTTCATTGCAGCTTTAGCAATTGTTTCTTTTTCGTATCCAACTGCTTTGGAAAGAACTTGCCTGAATGAGGTAGTGGAATGAGTGTCATTGATATCCATACCATTTGTATGTGACACCTTTTCATTTATCTTGTCCAAAGGTTCTGGAATGTTACTCAAGTTCACCAGCTTGACCTCACTGAAACCTTCAAAATCACCCCAAGTATTGCTGGATTCCATTGTGTTGATATCCTGAAGAATCTCCAGTGATCCTTCATCAATTGTTCCATCATCACTCTTGCTGTGAATTTTTTTCTGAACCAGTTCCATTTCTAGGGATGCATCCAGATTTCTATTTTGGTTTAAATGATGGCTTCCAGTTCTACAGCTGTACTCACTTGGTGACATGGCATACTTCTCTGTAGAGAGAGCTTTCAAACATGACTGGTTTTCTCCTTCCACACTATTAATTTGCAGTAAATTCTGCCCTTGCATTTTAGCTATTGTAACAAGGAGGAGTCAACAAAAATGTTATTGGGATACAATAAATCCATTAACATTTGGAAAGTACAATGAAACACTTCATTGTATCTCGAATAGTTTGCAATAATGTTGTGAAGCAAACCAGCATGTCTTTGATATCTCCTAAGCCATCAACAATGCCTGTTTTCAGTCTTGCATCAAATCCAGATTTCAGTCTGCAAAAGAAAGATTATAAATAAAGACCCCTGATAATAAGGTAAGGTTCACAAAAGATAAGCTGTCAGGCAAGAGAAAGGTTCATGCTTTGTCAAATAAATTCCAATGTGCTTAAAAACTTAAAAAAAAAAAAAGCCTTAATCTACAGCAGCCCAGGCCTATGCAACTTGCTTCGCATGTAGTCCTCAACTTACCATAACTGGGACCAGAATTTCCATTAAATGACAAAATCATTAAGTGAGTCGTGTCTAATTTTACCAATTTTTTTTGCCATGATTGTTAAGTGAATCATATTTGCATGTTTGAAGTCCTCTGAGAAGGTCATAAATGGCAATAAGATGATCAAGGGATGCTGCAACCATCATAAATAACATCATAAATACATGACAGATGCCAAGTGCCCAGATTCTGATCACGTAACTGTGGAGAGGCTGCAATGGTCATAAATGTGAGGACCAATTGTAAGTCGCCCTTTTCAGCACGGTTCTAACCTCAAACAATAATTTTATAAATGGCCATAAGTCTAGGACTATATATGCCCAAGATATGTTTTGTCTAGATGTTTTTGCAAGGCTTGCAGCAAATAAATGTGCTATAAAACATGCCTACTCTTGTTTTTAGACATAAGTTTAAATACCCAGTGTTTTTCCTTGCACAGGAAAAATATGCTAAAATTAACAATGAAATGCTTTTATAATAATTTAATAGATTATATTTGTAGGTAACACTAAAAATATTGAGGTATCTTTTGCAATTAATATATTTGTCATATAGGTTTTTTAGAAAGTCAAGAAAGAAAACCTTTACCTGCTGAATAATTCAAATAATCCTTCGTACACTATTGCACTTTATTGCAAAATAACTTAGTCTGATAAGAAATATCACACATAAAACAAGCTACAGTGCATATTGCAAAGAACCAAATTTGTTTCAAATGCATGCTTGACCTCTTGCCTAACAGTCCCTAAATCATTTTTAAAAATATCTCAGGTGTTTATACAAGGCAATTTAAGACATTTTGACATTCTTTGTGCATAGCAATAATTTATCCATTTGAAAAATGTCCCAAATATATGCTATACAGAACCTGCCTCAAACAGAACAGTGTTCAATAAAATCGGATTTTAAATTGTAAGTCAGATTAAAATGTAATCATAATAGGCAGTTGGTGTAGTGGTTATAGCACCATGCTAGAAACCAGAAGACTGTGAATTCTAGACCCGCCTTCAGTTCAAAGCCAGCTGGGTAACCCTGAGCCAGTCATATTCAGCCTAGAAAGAAGCAGGCAATGGCAAACTACTTCCCAAAAACCTTGTCAAGACAGACTAATCCAGGAAGTCACCAAGAGTCAATAGTGACTAAAAGGTACATGCATGCGCACACATGCACATACAGAGGAAATGATAGAAAGGAATTGAATTATATATTACATATTATGTAATTATGTATACACATGTATTGTAAGAAATCACCTTATTTTCACTGCAATTTACACCTCAGTACTTTTATTCCACATTAAATCAATTAAAGATTACCGTATACTATTCATCCTGGGAAGGCTTCATTTCTAAATCTCAGTTTCAAACATTCTGTGCAGAGTATTCCTATTATAAAATCCAGTAAATCCTTCTACTGATATAACAACTATCTTTCTTTCTGGAAGTAGAAGAGAAATACCACGCCCTCTTCCCGAAACCTTCTGTGTATCATTAAAACAGACTAAAGCTGTTTCTCAACTTTGCCAACTCTAGGATATGTGGACTTCAATTTGCAGAAGTTGCCAAACACTGTACTAAAGAAAGAAACCCACAGTAAATATTGAGGGTGCAAAGAGATCTGCAGAGGAGAGCACCAGCAAATTTCTTACTTTGGGTGGTTAAAGTAGTTCCACCATAGGAAGACTGCATTTTTTTTCATATTTACATAGAATTAAGTCTGCTGAATAGGACTTGATTTCAATAAACAACACTGCAGTCCTTGCCACCTAGGATAATTTTCTGTTAAAAACTATATTTCATCACATAAATTCTACAGTATAAGGAAGAGTATTGCTTAAAGAACTAATAAGGGCACAATTGAAATATATTGTAATATTGTTAGTTGTTATATGAGAAAAAATATAGGTAATAAAAATGGTCTCCAGGGGGATGGGTGCACTGTAGTATTGTATTTTTATATTGTTTTTTATTTAGACTTATATGTATTATGTTTGTATTATTTGTATTTGAATAAAATTAATATTTTTTTTTAAAAAAAAGAATATGCCCAAACAAAGTATGTGTGAGGGTGTGTACCAACATACTTTTGTCTTAATTAGATCTGGAAAGCAATGGTTCACATATTTTGCTTGGTCGTTTTGCTGGCAGTTTAATGTTTGTTTATTCAATAAACCATGGTTAGGCAAATTACAATTTAGTACAATGGGAAAATCATCCCAAAGATGCTTTTTCACGAGGCAATTGGACTTTGTTTTTCTTTGAAGACGTTTCACTTCTCATGGGAAAATCAGATAATATGTTGGTGTTCAGATTCTTTAGGAACAGGTCAGTTGCACTCAGTTCTGAAACTTGCATTTAGAAGATAACTGGGAGAATATATAATAAAAGATATGATCTAGAAAATTAAAGAGATTAGCAACATACTTTTTAGTCTATACCAGGGATAGGCAACCTTGGCTCTTTTATGACTCATAGCTGGCTCAGGAATTCTGGGAGTTGAAGTCCATGAGTCATAAAAGAGCCAAGGTTGCCTACCCCTGGTCTATATGATCTTGAAAGCTAGCATTGCTATGTTTCTTATTTGTATTTTTACATGATGGAATTTACTCATTAATCTAAGCATGATAGCTATTCAAATCTAGACATCTGATTTACAGAAATAAAATTGAATAAAAAGAAGAGAAGTGTTTCCAAACATTCTCCAAAAGAAAATACACTAAAAATCTCAACTACTTAAGGGTGAGTACCTTTTCTGACCTGGAAAAAAGACTTAATCTAGTCAATTCACAGACCTGCCAATTATTCTAACAATAATCTAATGTGAAACAGTACTCTAGCTGTCTGTTGCACACATTAATCACATTCTATTAAGTATTTCCAACATTCTTCAGTGGCTGGATCTGCAACAAATCATAATTCTTTCATATCTGAAGGACCGCAGGCTCTTTTCCTTTGCAGTACATGAAAAAATGTTATTAATTACACAAGCAGAGATATCTTTTCATTGCATTAAGCCATATCTGATTTGTCTGGTTCTGATTTAATATGACCCAGCCACTGTATTCTTAGTACAGCATTATATATAAATCAGATCACTTTATTTCATTCAACAACCCTCAATTAAAGGGTTAGTGCATTGTGCAGACTCAGTCATTGCCTTATAGATGACCTTATATTTGGTTCTGGGATAGTGAAGCACTTATATGCTCAATGTATTTAAGTGGCTATCCCTTGAAATTTTTCAACCAAATTACTAGGTGTTTTAATGATGGTATCATTCTCCTATAGATACATAGAACACTGTAAAGTATAAATGAATCCAAGGATTATCAACACTGTTAGTTTGGCAACTTGCAATGATAAAAGAGTTTTCAGTGGAAAAAAAAGAAAGGTACTGCTATCACTGTTAATAACAAGCTCTAAGACAACGTTGGATAATATTTCTTTGCCTTGGAGAATTACTCATTTACCCCACCAAACAGCAGATATCAAGAAAAAAAATAGCATACCTTTATTTTAAGAAAATAAACTTATGGAAGATTCTATATAAAATCTTTGGAATGTCTAATGAGCTAATGGTTCATTTGAATTAACAAAAACCTCATCCAATTATTCATAAAATATTTGTGTATGAATTTGAAAATTCAGTCAAAAAATCTTAAACACTGATGTTGCCTCCAAGAAATGTGAAAGTTTCCTTCCAGCTTAGATATCAGTCCTGTTGCTTGTTACGCAGGAAGCAACACATTCTTTTATAAAGTAGCACCCACTTTATACTTTACATTGGAGGTGTTAACGACTGTGATTTAAAGTAGGGCATGGTGGGTAGATATGCAGAAATCTGTACTAAAATAAAAACAGTGTGATCATACCAATGTGTGCTACCAATCACATGGATGAATGCTTTCTTAATAATAATTCATCTTAGTTTAAAAAGTCAGAAAACAATATAATGCAAGCTTCCGTCTTCTCTACTGGAATGGGTAAAAAGAACATCTTGCCTAGCAAGATTGAGGGAAGCTGAAGGAGGGGAAGACATTGAATAAAGTGGTTAGGCAGGATCAGGAAACCACTGCAGAGTGCCACTTCCAGATGTGAACTGAAATGCCATCTGCTCTAGCCATCTTGACCAATGGTGAACAATTACAAGAACTGCAATCCAATAACATCTGAAGGGCCACATGTCTAAGTGGATAGAGCTTTTTCTTTAGAGGTTTAAGTCACACCATGCTATTTGGGTAATTCTGGAGGCCTACACATCTTAAAATAACAGAGATTGAGAAACACTGTTCTCCTGACTGGCTTCACACACTGTCATTATGTTTTAAACTAGGTCTAGGAGATAAACAATGAAAACAAACAAATGTTGAATTAACTGGAAAGTGTTAATTTCATCATATTATAAATATGCATTGAAGAAATTTTAATGAAGTCAATATTTGATCATTTAATGTAGGCTAGGTTTAGTAGTTCTTTTAAGACTTGCGAAGTAGAAAAGCAACCATCGATTTTTAAAAGAAATACAAAAAGCACCCTGTTAATGAGTGCATTTTAATTCTTGAGGGTATAGAACTGAAAATCTAAAAATACAACAGCTATAAAAGGACCAAAGCATCTCCTCTCAAAGTTCACCCACATTATATGTCCATTAAAAACAATTTTCTTTTCTGGTGTTATTGTTTACTGTAGAATTCAGTTGTCTTCAGAAATATGAATTAAATACTCAGAATTTGCTAGCACTTCTATCTGCAAGCTGCCCGTAGATTCATCCCCCAATGAGATACTATTTTTTTGAAGCAGAAGTTATGTACATGTGCC